TGAAGTGTTACCTTCTACTGGTTGTCTTTTGTAGTGACAATCTCGTACAAAGTGTCCTCGCTTGCAACAATTGTAGCATCCTCCTTCCTGCTGTCAAGCTTAATGATCACCTTGCTCTTTTTCTACCATACTCTAGTTTGTCATCCTCTTCCTCTACCGGTGCAGCTGCTTATGAAATCCGTCTTTTCCAAACTGCAAATTGGATTGCTCTTGCCGTTAGCTTTTGCTGCTGAAGAGAGCTTCATCTTGATTTATGATGGAAACATCGGTCAGTTGCTTAACCAATGTTTCTTATGCAACTAATAGATTTTCTAAGTCCAGAATAGATGGTTCAACTTCCCACCAATAACCAGCTATAAGCCCATGATACTCATGTCTCTAGCCTTGCATGCTTATTCTCCTCATTCTTATTTCAGGGATTTTTAAATCAGTGTCAAATTAAGCAATATCATGTCAAATAGTGTTCGATGCTGACAGACCCGAGGAGCTGATGCAAAAGGTGCCTGAGGGACACTATTTGACGTTGCGTGAACGGACTACCGATGCAGCACTGACGGATAACCAACGTCAGGAGATGAAAAAGCCCGACTTTCTATTAGCTAGGAAACAGCGTTGAGAGATATCCCCAAGAGATAGATGGAAACCTCGGACTTCCACCCCTAAGACCAGGGAAATAAAGCAATCTCAACTCTCCAGAAACATTGCATATGCCCTTGCTTAAGGGGGTTCGTGGAGAACTTGTGCAGTAGCCCTGATTTATATTCATGAATCTCTCGAGCATCAGTAATCACAAAACTCATTCGATCTGGAGAAAGAGTACACGCAAAGACTCTCTATGGCGTGTGGGTCGGGCATCCCTCAAATGTCTCCGAAAGACTTCATCCACCATCCGCTTTACGGCGAGACAACGCTTTCCTGCCTTAATCTCCTTTCTTTATGGTTCACTGTCCTTCTGGGTGTTGTAGTCTCGGCTGCCACTTTGGTACAAAAGTTCTTGTCTTTTAAGGTAGAGCTCGCATGAATGTTCTCTTAGTTTGTTAACCATATTAGTTTCTTGCAGCACCAATAATCCTAGCTCATCTCCAGTAAACATGAGTAGCCCCTGGGACTTTTAATATCACGAGCACGAAATTCTTACCGTTCGACAACCTGTTCACAATCCCCGCAGGCGCAACTCCAACTTCACAACCCAGGCGCGACGAATACACACAGACGAATTGCAGTTCGAAGAGCCACTCCGACGCGTCTTCTTGACTATTTGTAAGCAAAGTGACAGGACCCATGGAGTCTGAATCACCAATATGTGTCAGTAGATCCGCCATTGTAACGTAATCCTACTTTTAATATTACCCAATGTATGCATGGTCCCTGACCAACAGCCTTCACTAACCCAGATGTCAGCGACTCCAACTTCACGAACCACCGAATACTACCTACACATGAAAGGCGTGCGTACGAAAATACAACCGGACAGGGTGTTCCGCCCCTGACTGCACGTGTTGAGAAGACCCAAAAGAATGGGGGTTGGGGGGGGGGTCAGAGGGGATGGGGGAAATAACCAGAGAATAGATTCGTTAGAGTTAATAATTTTATTACGACGACACTGGCACGAGGGCACGGTCGATGCGAGCGCGCGCGGGGGGGGTCGGGGAATGTCTCCTCATCACAGACGACACACTGGGCGACAGGGCATGCCTCGCCTCGGCAAATTTTCTCACACGCACAAGTGGTTTACTTGCACTCATATATAATAGTTGTTGTAGCCGCCAGGTTCTTGAGTCTGTGGTAACGTTAGAGGGGCGGGGGCCGCCAAAAGAGAGTGGCGGCACCTGACACGAGGACCAAGTCAAGTGGAGGGGGCGTGAGAGAGACTCTGTAAGAGTGCGAGGGAATCAGCCGGAAGGGGGCTGACGACAGGGGGAGGGACGCAGCCGGGTGGCTGGGGAGCGTAGGGGGAGTGTATGTGTTTGACGCGGGTACGAGGGTGACCGGAGGGGATGTACCGCGGAGAGCGGGATGGATGGGGGCAGGCGGCTAGTCGTGATGGTAGGGTCGGGAGCCGGTGGTTGGGGGGGAGGGGGGCGGGTGGAGCGAGCAGTGTGAGGAAGCGAGAGAGAGAGAAACAGGTGGGCGCGGGAACATGTGAGCGAGGGCGAAAGTGAAAATCTCAGCAGCAATGCGCCGGTGACACTAATCCTATCAACGGTGTTCTAGAAGGCATCTACGAAAGACATTGTCAGAGCATTAAACTGTGGCTAAAGCGCTAAAACTGTCTTAGGCACGAATCAAAGGAGAGCAACGAGTACTGCCGGGGAAGCTCATCTTGCCCACAGTGTGCTGGTGCACAAACAAGCTACTCAAAGCATATCATCGCACACACATATACGCAACTAAATAAATTACGAGTAGAGCGCTAGAGAAAAGGGGGACCAACTAAAGAAAACAAATTCAGGAAAGAGAAGCCCTGTTATCTGGTCTGTCGTCGTCCGGATGGATTGTGGCCGTCGACATCGTTATCATCGCGTCTCGTCGATCGGGCACACACTTTGTGCTGCGCGCGTGTTCAGAGAGACTAGGAGAGGCGGGTCAAGAGCTCGTCGATGCCGTCCCTGTTAAAAAGAGAGTGGGGGGTGCGACGTTATTAATACTACGGATCCAATAACAACAAGGCACATGCTTCCAAGCAAAGGTGAAGGAAGCATAAAGGGGAGCTGTAGTCCGAGGGAATATTTTAAGAGGGGTGATCAGAGGTATACTAGTCTAACTAAAACCGACGGAAGAATTGCAAATTTCTCGTGCTAGAGTGGCTAATAGTCTCGGAAAAGTGCACATTTACCAAACTGTACCGCTCAGTGGGGCGGAAGACCCAGTGGTGGCGGGGTCGACGACCGGATGAGGCGGCTCCATTCAACAATTAACACAAGGGAAATTAAGGGGGGGCGGGAGATTACAGTTCAACGGTAAAACCTCTACATCGGCAGAATGATTGAGGGCGTAGTATGCCGAAGGTGCATCGTCAAGATTGTAGGGGGACATTTAGGAAATGCAGCCTCCTCTCATCTGAAAGATATCAGAGACATCTTCCACACCGATAGCGTCCGTAAAACAATCGACTCAAGCAAAAATCTATTCCAACAGTCTTGAAACTCTTGATCATCAATGATCTCCCCTCGTCTCCAAATTGAAACAAATAATCTACTCAAGCTAAACATTAGAAGTGCAAACTAGAATTTTACTGTCCTATGCTTTAGGTAGGTTTGACCGTAGTCAGAAGAAAAAATGTGAAAGAGCTAACGTTACGCCAAGCAGGTTGAGAATATGCCCAAGAGGATAGATGCTGAAGAACCTCGGGAGTCTCACCCTAAGAAAGGGGAAATAAAGGCAACTTCAACTCTCAGAAACAATTGTGCATATTCCCTTGCTTTATATTCATGAATTGTGCATATTCCCTTGCTTTATATTCATGAATTGGCTCTCGAGCATCAGTAATCACACATCATTGAATCTGGAGAAGAGTACAGCAAACGTGCTCTATGCTTCTTTTGGTGGGTCGGCCATTCAAATGTGCTCCGAAAGATCTTCATCCACCATCGTCTTTAAGGCGAACATCGCTTTCCCTGCCTTTATCTTCCATTTTCTTAGGGGTTCACTTTCCTTCTGTGGTGTTGTAGTCTCGGCTCCACTTTGGACCTACAAAAGTTCTTGGTCTTTTAAGTAGGACTGCATGAATGTGCTCTGGTAGTTGTGGTTGCACCCATTGAGTTTCTTGTCAGCACCAATAGAGTTCGCTAGCTCCATCGTAGTAACATAGTATACTTTTAATATTCACCACGCAAGCTTAGTCCTTGACCAACCTGTTTCACAATCCCGGATTGTGCGCGAACTCCAACTTCACGAACCCACGAATACTACTACACACGAACAAGTGCTAGTATGAAAAGAGCCAGCTCCGGACCGCGTGCTCTGATACTATTTGTTGAACAAAGTGGAAGGACCCATTGAGTTTCTTGACTGCACCAATAGTGTTCGCTAGATCCGCCATTGTAACGTGATATACTTTTAATATTTACCATGTAAGCTTGGTCCCTGACCAACAAGCTTCACTATCCCAGATTGTGCACGAACTCCAACTTCACGAACCAACGAATACTACTACACATGAATAGGTGCTGGTACCAAAAGAGCCAATCCCGGACAGTCCGCCCTGATACTACTTGTTGAAGAAGGACCCAAAAATAATTCAAGATGGGGAAATAAACCAGAGCAAAGGATTTCGTTAATTTAATAATATTTTACACTACACTGCAAGCACTCATGCACCGCTCGCTCTCTTAATTTTCCTCACCACAACACACACTACACACTCATCTCAAATTTTCTCTCACACGCACACATGATTCACTTGCACTCACTTATATAAACTTCATTAACCGCCTATTCTTGAGTCGGTAACTGTTAAGCCAAAATAATCGACTTGAAAAAGGAGCCAATCAATTCATGGCGGTTAATAACCAACTTAAAGGAGTCAGTTTAATTACCAACTTACAAGGTCTGTGATGAACACCGACTTAGATGAGTCGATGTTGACTCTTACATTACCAAATTACCAAATGGAATGACAGCTGCTAGTCATATGTAGGTCTTACCTTTGGTAGGTTTGTGCATGCATTTTTAAGAAGGCAATGAAGAGAACAAAATTATGATTCGTGAAAGTGAAAAATGCTCAGGAGCAATGCTCAGACACATGAATCCTATCAATGTTTTAGAAAGCCATCTACAAAGATCATTTCAGAGCACTTAAATTTAAAGCGTTCAAACTGTTACACGGATATCAAAAGTGCTGAAGATATGGCCGGAGAAGTCATTGGCCCAAACATGTGGCTTCTGGTGCACAAACTAGCTACTCAAAGCATATTCATCACAACATATAGCAACTAAAATATATTAACTAAAGCCTAAAAAGGACAACTAATAGAAAACAAATTCAAAAAGGAAAGCACCTGTTTAGGTTCTTCTTCGTCTTCCCATGATTCCTTCACATCTTCATCATCTGCATCTTCGTCATCCCACACACCTTTTGGCTGCTCCTTTTTCAAACTAGGGAGTGACGGTTCAAACTCTTCATCCTCTAAAAAAATTGTGCATGGTTATAATACTAGGAGATCAGATAACAAAGAAAGGAAATCTTCCAAGAAAGTGAAGTGAAGCAGTAAAAAGTATATCCGAACATATTTAAAGGCATCAAGGTAACTATGTCTACCTAAAATAACTCGTAGGAGTAACTGCAAATTTTCTCGTGCTACTAAAGTCTCTGAAAAGTGCACATTTGATAAACTGTACCTCAGGTTTGATCTAAAGATACCATGTCCACACCATAGCTCCATTCAAAATTAGACACAAGAAATGTATAGATTACAGTTCAAAAAACTCTCTACAATCCAGAATGTTGATGCTATACCAATGTCTCCAAAATGTAACATTTAGGTAAACTGCAGCTCTCCTCTCATCTAAAGATACCATTTCCACACCATAGCTCCGTAAAAAATATCACACAAAAGAGCTTATTCCATACAGTTTGAAAACTCTTTATCATCCAAAATTCCCATGTCTTAAATTGAAACAAATTAATCTACTCAAGGTAAACATTAAAGTGGAAAATAAATTTTACTTCCCTATGCTTAGGGTTAGGTTTACCTAATGCAGAAAGAAAAATTAAAAACTACAGATTAGCCTACCTGGTCAATTCATAAAATTTTTTATTCTAACCGCGGTTGAACCTCATTTTTTACAAGAAGAAAATGTAACTGAAGGACTCGTGGATAGTTGCCTAATGCAGAAGACTAATACAAATACAGATCTGCAAGGGGCGAGTATGTATGATAATCAAAGTAGGACATCACATTAGCGACTTACAACCGAGATAACCTCAAATAGACTAACATGTTGCTATAGTTTATTTTTTAATCCAATCTCCATTTTTTTTCTCTCCGTTTCTAGCTGTTCCCACCCCCTTTCTCGAGTGCTATACAAATAAGATGAGTAGTTACACAGACTCTTTCCTTTGCCAAAAATCTATGAGATAGGGTCTCCTAATTACTATAGCCAATCAAGTCAGGAACAACTTCCTCTTATTATTGTTGGCCCATCATTTTTCTTAATTGTTTGTGGGTTGAGGATAATATCTTTATAGTGCACTCTAAGAAACTTATGGTTAACCACAGTAAAACCGATATAGTGAAGTATCGGGTTTCGGCAATTTCACTCTAAGATGTGAAATACAGAACTCATATTAGCCTGTGAAAATTTACTGACAAAATATCAATGTGAGCGAGATACTAGCATCTGTACACTAGCTGCACTTTGTTGATCATTTGAGGAGACAAAGCAGGAGATCCTTTACATTTATGTAAATCAAGCTGATACTGCCAAGATGTAAGTAAATATTTTAACTATCTAATGCCAGAGATTGCATGATCTTAATCTGATCAATAATGCTTCCCGAGATACATATATTGTGTAATTCCAAGATGTTATCGCAATGTCACATAAGTAAAAGCTATTCACTGAAATGTAAGATACCACACATTTCCCAGAAATGTGTGCATCATGTTGATTGAACATTTCATTTTTTCACTTAAATGACATACGAACCGGGTTTTGGTCAACCAACAACAAACAAACAACAACAACAACAAAAGGCTTTATCCCATATATTTGGGAACTACTACATGAATCATATGTTTTTGTTAACCAATCCAACTGCAATAAGGGTTTGCAAAGTTGTAATACTTTTTTATCTGGGGAAAGTGTGGTCAATACATATATAATATCACTTATTCTACCGCACTTTGCAAGTGAGAAAAAAAGGCTTACAGGAGAAAACTGAGTCTATAAACTATAACGAACCATAAATTAAAATGTACTTAGCTCAACAGCACAGTAGTTGAGCGTCATGAACAGAAAACAAAAGTTCATCATCCAAATTTAAGTTTGGGCTTACAACTGCAAATTTTAGTACGTATAATTAAGCATTAAAACTTACTCAGCGATTACTCTCTTTAAATAACATGGGCCCTTATGATACTTTATTTCCAATATAAAATCACATATCTTTTGCAGGAATCTAATTTGCATGAAGAACATACTCTTCTGCCAATAGCAAAATCCAATCTTTCTCAAACAGTAAAACCAACAACAAGCACCATCGGGCATAAACTTAGGAGAATAGAACAACCAGTTACAAATTTTCACTTACCCCAATCCGCCATCTTTCTCTTTTATTCTCTTCTCTAAATTACCAGTGGCTTCAAAGACCTTAAGAAGGGCGCGAGGACAACTCTAATTGAACTCCCTGTAAACAAAACGCAGATAGAAAAGGAATTGCACCAGCTTTTCGATTAAAAATCTGAATAAGATAAAGGTTGGGAATCAAGGTTTAATGAATTAATAAAGTGATTCCACAAAAGTTAAATCTCAAGTGAAGGTGCAGATTTAAGGACATTGGATCGAATTTGAAACCTGACAAGAAAATCCTAATCTTTTCAATTCCTAATTAGGCTTCTACTGGAGCTTCAGCTGTATACAACCCTGGATAAGTGGTGGAGGCATGTCATATTGGAGCCATATTAGGAGTCATAGGGCCTGGGCTCCCTCCAATCTATATGTTAAGAACTCGAACATAAAGCATACACAATAAAGTAAACACACTATAGTTCAAATACTCATCATATCCTTTTCTTTAATCGTAAAGCGAAAGTGAAGAGCGAAGTAGAGGGCATCCAAATATTCATTTCAAGTGGTGAGGGCTTTAGTGCAAGTCCCCATGAACTGATTTTGCTGGTGGTTTTGGCGCCACCATAAAGCGCTTATGCTAATTTACCCCTCAAATCTACCACTTTTATCCTTTAAAATCCTAGATGTTTTGCTAATTAACCCTTCAATTATCTTGAATCCGAGTTAAAATAAAACTCAATTATATCCAATTGAGTGTTAAATCCATGTCTGCTTAAACCTTTTCAAGCGCTTACACAGCCGGCTTTGGCCGCATGACCTCAATTCATGTAAATGATCAGTCCCAGAATTTTCCTCTTACAAATCAGCCCCAACCCTAATAAAAGAGAGTTAAAAAAAAACCCTAAAAGTTTCCGACTTGTTCATCACCGTCAAAAACTAAAATCGAAAACCAAAACATAAAATTCGTCCAGATTAGAAACAAAAACTGACCTTTTTATTTATAATGATTTTGCCGCCTATACGTCAGCCCTTGGCGTCAACGTCTCTTCTTCTCGCCGTCAGAGGATTGGGATTTTGACCGATCGATTACTTGATGAGCAGGGATTTTGGCGAGTCGGCTTTTAACTGCAGTTTTTTATTTTTTTTAATAAACAATTCTAAACGGATCTTTAATGTGCCGGCCAATTTGGGCCTATTTTATTTGTCATTGCAGGCCCAGTCCAATGTACCCCCGTGACTCCAAACTTTCAAAATTAAAAAGCCCGCTCATTGTTCGGAACGACCTCAAATCTGAATACCTCACTCCCTCCCTTTGCTAATAATTCTCACCGGAAGAAAACGATCTAAGGTACAAAATTCATTCATTTTTAATTGCTCATCGCTTTGTTTTCTTCTTTTTAAGTGCTCTAGCCCTTTATTTCGATCTACGCTCGAGCTTCTTTTTTTTTTTGTTTCCAGGATGTCCTCAGGACCTCAGCTGCGTATAACCTGAAAGAACTAAAAAAATCCACTAATGCTCTTCATGATTAAGCTCACAAACGCAAATAACATAAAGAACAGGAGTGGCACTATAGGCACACTCTCCACCACACTCTTCACCACACCCCCTCTCCTGCTACAGTACAGGGGGGCCCACTTGAGATTTTTTAAAAAATCTCAGGTGAGCCCCCTGCACTGTAGCAGGAGAGGGGGTGTGGTGGAGAGTGTGTGTGTAGTGTTATTTAAAGAACAGCACCCGTATATATTGACTAGAGCCTAGTATCTAACTTCCACCCAGATTTTCTTTTCGTTTATTTTTAAATTCGATGACATGAGTATGGATTTCTGACAAATGCCCCTTTTTCTTTCCGTTTCTAATTTCATGTTGTAGTCTTATTTTTTGTTCCCGAGTTGCCAAATCTTAATATCTAATGTCTCTATCATTTCGATGTCGTTCCTATAATCAAGTGTTAGTCTAAGGTATGTAGACTCAAAGTTGGAATCAAAAAAATTGTTGGATAGTAAGTTTCTTAATCTGTTTTGGTAACAGGATTCTTAATCTGTTTTGATAACAAGTTATTAGGATTCCTAATATATTTTGTTTTTTGGTTTTAGAATTCCTAGTATGTTTTGGTTTTAGGTTTTCTATATATATGGAAAGCCTTAGAAGAGATTAGACATAAAAAAAAGAGGGTTTTGAGAGAATTCTTCAGAGAGATCTCAGAGAGATTAGATCCTATTTGTGGGCAATGTAATCTTCTTCAATATTAATCAAAGAATTGTGTGGTATGGCTTCCGAGGACGTAGGCACGATTGCCGAACCTCGTTAAATCCGGTGTGTTTTTTTTTGTTTACTTTCCTGCAAGCTTTTTTATCTTTTATTTGCTGTGATTTTTCCTACTTTTCTATTCTCAAACACAAGGTTCGGAAGGGAAAGTATTCGATGTTGTGCGCGGCGGAAGCTTTCTAGGGCAACACGAACAATAACTCGAACTGAACCACAAACAATATGCAAACCACAATCACAGCAAGAACACACAATTTACGTGGTTCGGCAAGTTGCCTACGTCCACGGGGCAAGGAGGGGGAGTTCTTTCTACTAGAAATCAAGAGAATACAAATAGGGTTACAAATCTCTCAGACCAAACCCTAAAACAAAGCTCTAGATCTCTCAAAGCTCTCTCACAATTGGATGCAATGATTCTCTCTCTTTGGCTGCTCAAATTCGTCCAACCTCTACCCTAAACAAACAGGTTTAGGTATATATAGAACTTACAAAACGAATCGGGTCGAAAACCTGAAAGCCCAGCCCAAAACAGCGACGGTCGACCGGACCGGTCGACCGCGATCAATTCCGGTCGACCGGCCCGGTCAACCGACCAGCTCTCAGTAGAAAACCCAAACTCCAAGAGAACCCCTCGGTCGACCGCACCGGTCGACCGACCACCTTCCTGACGCACAGTAAGCTTTGTGCACGAATGCGGTCGCCCGGCCCGGTCGCCCGCCGCCTGGTTTGCCTGATTCTTCTGAGTTTCTGTAATTTCTTCAATTCTCCACCTCGGCGAATGTTTCCACCAAAAAAAAAACTGAGCCGACACCAAATCATCCAATAGTTCCTCAACAAGTCCAGGAACAATACTCGAGCTGAAACGCGATCTCCCCCCATCTGAATCAACTGATCAAACCGACTGCAGTTCTTTGCCAAATAGATAGCCGACATACTATCACAATATATCCGAATAGTCTCCTGTGCAATCCCCAAGTCCTCCAATAATCCACGCAACCATAAAGCCTCCTTAATAGCTTCAGTAACTGCCATATACTCTGCCTCTGTAGTAGAGAGAGCCACTGTGGACTGAAGCGTGCAACGCCAACATACAGGTGCACCTGCCAATGTAAAAGCATAACCTGACGTAGACCGGCGTTTGTCAAGATCTCCAGCATAATCTGAATCCACATAACCAATACAAGCCTGCCCGTCCTTCTCATCCTTCTGAAACACTAAACCAACATCCACGGTGCCTCGAACATACCGTAGAATCCACTTCACGGCCTCCCAGTGACCCTTCCCGGGGTCATGCATGTATCTCGATACCATGCTCACGGCCTGTGACAAATCTGGCCTCGTACACACCATCGCATACATCAAGCTACCTACTGCACTAGCATATGGGACCTTCGACATATAATCTCTGTCCTCAACTGAAACAGGTGACATCAACGCTGAAAGCTTGAAGTGGGGAGCCAATGGTGTGCTAACTGCTTTTGCATTGCCATCAAAGCTGAATTTCTTCAACATCTTCTGCAAGTAGCTCTTCTGTGTAAGCTTCAATTTCCCCTTCACCCTGTCTCGCTCGATCTCCATACCCAATATCTTCTTTGCCTCTCCAAGATCCTTCATCTCAAACTCGGATGATAACTCCTCTTTCAGCTTTCGAATAGCTGAAGAATTCCTGGAAGCAATAAGCATATCATCAACATATAAAAGCAAATATATGAGCTCACCATCCTGTAGCTTGTGCATATAAACACATGGGTCATATGGGCTCCTCGTGTACCCTCGGCCAATCATAAAGCCGTCGAATCTCTTATACCACTGTCTTGGTGACTGCTTCAAACCATAAAGAGACTTCTTCAGCTTACAAACCAAATCTTCCTTTCCTGCAGCTTTAAAACCCTGTGGTTGTGTCATGTAGATCTCCTCATCTAAATCACCGTGTAGAAAGGCTGTCTTCACATCCATCTGGACCAAATCCAAATCCAACTGTGCCACCAACGCCAATAAAATCCGAATCGACGAATGCTTCACAACGGGTGAAAATACCTCGTTGTAATCAATGCCCTCAAGCTGTGCATATCCCTTGGCAACTAATCTGGCTTTGAACCGAATGTCCCCAATAGAAGATCCCTCCTTCTTCGCATATACCCACTTGCAACCAATAGCTTTCTTACCCTTAGGTAGATGTGCAAGTGTCCAAGTGTCGTTCTTCTGAAGAGACCGCATCTCCTCCTCCATAGCTTCCCTCCACCTGATCGAATCGGGGCTAGACTCTGCCTCCCTGAATGTGGCTGGAACCATATCATCAACGACCTCCACTGATAATGCATATGCGACCATGACATCATTATACCTAGCTGGCCGACGAATCTCTCTCCTCGGTCTATCTGCTGTAATGGTCCTCTGAACATGACCCTGTTCCTGAGTCCCATGATCTACTGTATCCTGTATCTGCCCATTTGTCATCTCATCTCCTCCCAGTGTCACCTCTGTAGGAGCCTCAATAGATACAGTGTTCTCTAGAGTGGGTGGAGTCACATCAACCTCCACCTGCTGCGATATCTCTCCTGTCTGGTCTCCCTCCACCTGCTGAGGGGCTCGAGGCCTCATCATGTACGCCTCGTCAAATGTGACATCTCTGCTAATAACTATCTTCTTTTCCTGTGGATCCCATAACTTGAAGCCTTTGACTCCATCCCTAAATCCCACAAAGATTGCTTTCCTCGCTCTCGGATTTAATTTACCATCACTGACATGATAATAAGCTGGACACCCGAATATCCGAAGCGACTCATAGTCACTAGCCACCGAACCAAACCAACGCTCCAAAGGAGTCTTCCCGTCTATCGCAGTGCACGGCAACCTGTTCACAAGATGGCTCGCATAAACCAACGCCTTGGCCCAAAAAGATCTAGGCAATCCACTCTGCGTCATCATACACCGCACCTTCTCCAGCAAGGTACGGTTTAATCTCTCAGCCACCCCGTTCTGTTGCGGTGTCTCTCGAACTGTGAAGTGTCTTCTAATGCCGTGATCCCGGCAAAACTGTAGAAACGGAACACTCTTGTACTCTCCACCGTTATCTGAACGTAGAGTCTTCACCCTTCTACCTGTCTGCAGCTCCACTTTCTTTTTCCACTCCACAAAAATATCCAGGACCTGATGTTTATGCTCACATATTTAATTAAATCATAATCTATAAAATTAAAAAACTAAATATAATTAATTAAGGGGTAGGGGACTTTTAAGGGGGAACCATTGGAGAAGAACCAACCCCTCCCTTAAAGTTCCCCTAGATTAAGGGACATCCAAAGGATCCCTTGGAGATGCTCTTAGAGCATTATCCTATAGTTTTGTTTTTGATCTTAAGCAAATGCACAATTTATTTTATTTTATTTACGGAGACTGTAGTAGAGCAGCTGTGGAACAGCGGAAGTATTGTTTTTGCTGGTTAATTTTCAACAGAATCTATCTTTTTTTATTTTTTCCGTTTAGTTATTTTAGTTGATTCTAGGAAGATATTATCAATATTCGATCCGGCAGCTATCTGTTCTAGCTTTGCCATTTTTGTTGATTTTCAGAAGTAATATTCTATAACTCGGTGCAAATCCAATATAATTTTAGGAAGACTAGTTAGTAAGATGTACTTTGCACGTGATGCATATTAAGTAATGATAAGAGACTAAAACATTCGAAGGTCATCTAATATTGCATTCACTATGACTTTTTTTAGAACAATAAAGATAACTCAAATAGAGCCCACAACCACCCACTTGCCATGAATTTATTGATATTTATTTTTAGTTTATCTCTCAACAAATTTGCATACTTGTATAACTAATAAATCGATTTTTTTTTTGTAAA